ACAGCGACTGTGCTCGGCAGATGCTGACTAGATGCTCAAAATGTCTATTTAAAAGATACATATTCTGCAAAACATGGCCTGGGTACATCTGCTTTTCTTGTGAAACTTGGATGAAGGGAAATAATATGGCCTTTTCAGTTTTTCTTTTTACCTGGTAATTGTGGTTGACAGCAAAATACCCTTCAGAATTGTCAGTGTATGTCCAGTTCCCAATCTCAGTGTCAAGAGAGCATGCACCGAGGTTCAGAGGGTATGGTGTCTGCAGTCGAACCATCTGGAATCAAATCCTGCCACGGACACTAGCTGTTGACCTTGGGAGAGTCATTGAACCACCCGGCCTCACTGCTTTGTCCTTCCTGTGGGTGACAATAGCAGCGCCCGCCTTGTGGAGGTTGTTGACGGTAACGTATATGGGGCGATTTAAAAATATCTACAAACTCTTCCATACTCCGCTCACCAACAGTTACAGTTCATTTCCCCTCCCCTTGAACTTGGATGGGTCTCTGGACCTCCTTGATGAATAGAATGTGGTGGAAAGAATGCTCCTTGATTTCCATGGGCTGATTAGAGAAGACAACTTCTACCATTGTCTCATGGTGAACTTGCCCTTGGAACCTTCAGCTACCATATAGGGGGGTCTGGCTGCCCTGAGGCTGCCACCCCTGGAGAAACACTCAGAGAGAGAAGCCCAAGGAGCCCACCTGTTCCAGACCCCGGCTGTTTGATTCCTTCTAGCCCAACTGCAAGCAGGTGCATGGAAAAGTTTTCAAGATGGCCAAGAAGCCCGAGAAGCACTGAGCCCCTCCTTCCCCAGCTCTGTGGGCCCAGTTAATGGTTACTATTGTTTTAAGCTGCTCCTTCGGGATGGCATGTTACTAAGCAACAGATAAATGCCATGGTTACAAAATAGTGAGTGCTGTATTATCTGACTTTAGAAAAGTTCCCAATAAATGTTCTCTATTGTTAGATCAGTCTTCACTGTTTGCTGGTTTGTGGCCTTATTATTAGTGTGTTTATCTTTCTGAACCAATTTTACCTTTAAATTATATGTAATAGGACCCGGATTGCCTGCTTCATGTGATTGTGATGCAGATTAGATGAGATAATAGGTAGAAAAGTCCTGTGAAAAGTAATAAGGTATATAAAAAGTGAAGTATTCATATTTTTTACATTTTTTTCTTAAACCTAGCAGAAGTTTACTATTGAGAAGGTATTCATGCTCCATAAATAAAGCTATTTTTGAGGAGACAACATGGATCTAATTTTTTTTCTAAATTTTTTAAAACATTCTCAGGAACTAAATGAAAAAAATCTGGATGGATCATTTTGTGTGTGTAGAAAACTGCCAAATTAACGTAATTGTTAAAAAACGCTGAGAATAAAAGTTCAAAATTCCATATGTTTAAACTGCTTTTCATGTTGTTCTACATAGAGCTCTAGCACCAAGTAAGCATATTCCAGATGATTTTGTATTATCAGTTTGTATTAAGATCTTATTTCAGGATTTTTCTCTGCACAGTCATCTGCATTTAGGCTTGTTGTCCACAAGGTGGAGACAAAGGCTTTTATTTGAAACAGGCAGGTTTGGTGGCCTTTCCCGTGCACCAGGCAACAGATGCAAAGATTCCTATTTCTTTCTGATACTGAAGAATGTGGACACAGGAACCTAATTCATCGCAAGAAACTTTCTTACTGGAGTAGAAGCAATATAGGAATCCTAAGCTCCTTACCTATGGGAGGGTAAGTAGGTACTACTATCATTAGCCGTAAACTAGAACTAATCTAGGAGCCCTGTGGTGACAGGTGTGATGGAGGGAACAATTAGGTGCTTTCTTGGCTTAATGGGGGAAAGAATATTTCAGAGCCTGGAAGAAATGGACATGTTTGAAATAGCTTTGGGGAAAGACAATCTTTTGACTTGATTATCTGTGACTGGGGTTTCTTTAGTGGGAGATAAAAGTTTTATAATTAAAGGCAAAATACTCAAGATGCAATGCCAGATTGCAATAATGCAGTGGTAGAAATTTACCCTTCCTCCAGCATGATCAGTTACTTAGTCAAAAGATGTTTCATTAGTTAATCTCAGATATTTTCCTTTTTCTAATTTGGGTGAGGCAGTGTTTTGCAGGCTTGGCTGCAGGGCAGGTTCTACTCAAGATGTTGAAACCTGAATCTCTGAGGGAGTGACTGGTATATTTTTCAAAAATCCTCCACATAGTTCTGCGCACTAGGGCTGAGGATCACTGGTCTGTAAGGTTTTTGTTTTGGGGCGGATCTCTGTGGTGGGAAATGGTGCACAAAAGGGAGACCAGAGACATACAAGAGACACGCTTCTAAGACCTCTTATTTATTTATTAGCTATTTATCTCCAAATGGAAATCGGGTAACCTATCAAGCTGATCAAATTCTTGCTTCACTAGGGCCTGCTGTCATTGAATTAAATGTCATCATAGAATGGCTTTTTACTTTTTGTGTTTTTGAATGAAAATATCTTTAAAAAGGAGCTTTGCTTCTGAAGAATTTCCAGGTGGGGTATTAATGCACCAATCCCGTGAAGCCCATTTAAGGCCACGGTTCGCAGGGACGTCTGAGAGGCACCTGTGGACGACACAGGCGTCCAGAAAAACGCAGGAGGCAGTGACTCAACTTGAGAGACTTTAAACCTTATAAAAGATGACCGGGGAAGGTTCGTGTGATAATTACAGTTTCTGTGTCAATTTGGCTGGGCTTGGTGACCTTTTGTTTGGTGACACGAGTCTAGACATTGCTGTAAAGGTATTTTGTCGACGAGATTAACATTTACCATCAGTAAAGGAGCTTGCCGTTGATAACATGACAACGTGAGTGGATGTCACGCAGCCAGTTGAAGGCCTTAAGAGTAAAAAACTGAGGTTTCCCAGAAAAGAGGAATTCTGCCTCAAAACTAACGGAAACCCTGCGTGAGTTTCTCAGCCTGCCCTACAGATTTCAGACTTGCCAGCTTCACAACTACGTAAGTCAATTTCTTAAAATAAATCTCTTTACTTCTCTATCCTTTATTCTTTTTGTTTCCATGGAGAACCCTGATACAACTTGTAAATGTCATCCTCGGAAGCAGAGTAGAGTCTGTTTGTTTGTTTTGAATCATGGTGAGAGCCCATGGTGATACTTAAGGAGCAAAAAATTGAGGACTTTTTATGGAAGAGAAACTAACTAGTGAAATCAGCTGTGGTTGACAGTGAGTGGATGGAAATTCAAAGTGTCTCTTTGCTGTTGGGCAGCACTTAGGAGTAAGCATACATTTTGGCAGTATCATATCAAAAGATCTCTTCCTAGTAAATGAAACACATGAAATGTGGCCATAACTATGCATATAAGATCTAATATTAAAACACTTATACGAAAATGACAGAATATTTGGGTCAGCGATCCTCAATGCAAGAAAAAATGGTGAAAGTTGTTCAGAGTTTGCTAGAATATATATCTAGGGGAAGCATGAAAGCACAACTTCCAGCAATTATGTACTATTTCTGACTAGTGACGAAAACCACTGGGTCAAGCAAAAAAAAAAAAAAAAACTCGATCGAAAGGGACCAGTTTGCAGTAGTTAATGAATGACTTATAAATGTAATTTCTCCAATAAGAGCAGAATTTTCCAAAATGAATTTCACACAGCAATAATTCTGGACATATTCAAAGGAAAGGGGGTTCATTGTCAAATAAATTTGGAGACACTGAATAATATGTAGTAAATTGTGACTCTTTAATAAACAGATATACTATATTGTGTTCCCAAAACTACTTTGATAAGGGAACACATTCTTCAGGCATTCCTATTAACCTTCCTTGCAGTGAAGCAATGGAAAGCTAAGACCTTGTTTTGGTCTTAATTAACTCCGTGAGCTTGAGCCTCCAATTCACCTGTTTGGAGATTCAGTCTCCTCCCATCTTATCCACGATATCTACTTCTCAGAGTTGTTTGAAGCTTCAGTAAAGTAAGTTTCGAAATGAAAAAAAAATTTTTTTAATAAAATCTAGAATGCTCCCTAAATATCTAGTGGATAGCTTGTTGCTTTCTGACTTTATGGCATCTGAAGAACTCTATTTGAGGTTTAGTTCTCATTTTTCAAACTTTGTGGGCAGTAGGGCTGTACCTTCTATCAAGAAGCTACGGGGGAAGGTGTTTTGTGTCCCGGCTCTGGGCAGCTAAAGGTATCGTCACTTGACCCTTGGCTCAGTTAATGAAATGCTCTTTGCTGGGACTTAGAATCTTGAGAAGTGACAAGGAAGATTTTGGTAGAATTGACTCTAATTATATTTGCCAAAAAATTCCTTCATCTCTATTATAGACGCTACATCTACCATGGGGTGAATTCAAATTCCCTGATGCAATTAACTACACATAGAAAGTTTTCCATGGCTTGTGTCAGTTCCAAAGTCCTATTTATTTTGAAAATACGATAGTTATTTCAAAGCAGAATATAGAGTTAGAACACTTTCATTTTCCCTGGACAAAGAGAGCATATAGAATATCATATATATTTTATATATGGTAGTAAATTGAGTTAAGCAGAAAAGTCATCGTGTTTTTAGGACTTTGCCTCAGTAAATTGCTCTTAGAAGTGTTTTTAGCAAAGGTAAATTTGTTCAGGCCATAAAGATTTTCTTTTTGCAAGATGGATACTACCTAATTAATGCCATACAACTTGCAGCTGGAGGCAAGAAGATATTCTCAGGAGGTGTTTTCATTTATCTTTTTAAGAAGTGAGACATCATAGGCTTCATGGTGGAAGGCTAGCTAATGCTTTCTTAATGGTACCTACTAAGCCTGAGAAGCAACAAGGAATGGAGTTTAGTGTTCGGGGAATTGGAAAGTGGATGGTTAACGTTGGGAATCTTTTAGAGAGAAACAGCCGGGATCTAGACAAAAGCAGGGCTCATGAGGTGGAGGCTGCCTATGGTAGCATTTTTGTGGAAGACACAGGAATAGTTCTGAAGATCAACAGCATTCTCAGTCATGCTTATGGTTTGCATTATATTTCAATTTATTTTAATAGGAAATCATAATACTTATTCATTATATGAAGATGTAGCTGGAAAAAGTAGTGAGTATCCCAGTTGTCTCCCAGAAGCTCAATGGTTTTGCTTAGGTTAGGCCATTAGAGGTCACTATTCAGCGTGGTTCCAGCTCTAAGTCTATGAGAATAATAGAAATGAACAATATATTAGAAAAATGGAGCTAATGGACAAAAACTATAATACTGTTCAAAAGATGCATATAAGGCCATGTTATTTTTATGTTCATGCCAATGTCTAGCATGACCCATATATCCACTATGGCCCACCTCATGGGTGCAGAGTAAAAAAAGTAAGAAATTCTCAATACCAGTAGTCAACAGTGCCGGCATATAAAGCCATCACTAATTTTATGCCAAGCTACATCGTACTTTGTACAGTGTTCTTTTTTTAACTAAGGATGTATATGACCTGCTCTATGAGAATGAATAATCGCTGCCAGGGTGGAAAAGGCAACCAATGTGATAGTAAGGCCTCCTGATCATGGAATTGAGATAACGGTTTAATAATTTTTATTTTAGTAAAACACTGATGAGTATACGTCTTTATCAAATCACCTTCTACTTTGTATTAAGGCAAATGTGCCTCCCTTTTGTTCTCCTCCAAGACAGTATGTAATAGAGTTATATCATAATTCTATTTGCACAGTTCAAGAAATTCCATCCTTCATTGTTTTCAACTGAGTTTATGTCTTGGAGTGAGAATGAGAGGGGAGATAGGAATCTGCCTCACAGCCCCGGGTCTGAAGTTTCTCTCACAGTGTGAGCACCTCCCTGTTGTGGGTATGATTTTGATACCTAAAATATTTTTCACCCAATTTGTTTCCATATTGTGAGCCAACTACTTTATCTTTTTGACAAGCCAGGGAACACTAATTGCTTCTAGAGCTGAAGGGAAAAAAAATACTTGGCTTTGTCAGATTTATTGAGACACAGTAATTCCCTCTTTGATAGGGCATGCAAATGTGGTCACAATCAATTTGAAGCTTCAAGGCTTGAGGAAAGAAATTGATCAAGGGGACCAATAACTGTCAAGATGTCAATTCAAGCTTTTATTAAGACTTTAATTGAGAGTGGAATAGCATGAAATTGTTGGCTAGAAGACATGAATTGTAGGTGTGCCCAGGGATCGAAACACCTTGAGACAAAAGGCTTCAGCTTCTGCAAATTGTTTAAATCTCTAACTACAGAGGGGTTGGCTTTCATTGAAAAGAAATATATAGCCACCTAAAGTTGGCTTAACAGTTTAGGAACCATTTCACCCTATACAATGTGCCACTTCTGCCATTGAAGAATTTACCTGTTTTAGTAAGAGAAAAATCATTGAGGAATATAGATGTCTTCTACTAGAATAATTGAAAATATGATGAAATGACTGGACTATCTGGGGGAAAGTACTTAGCACTTAGTCTAGAATCATTAAGTCAAGACCTGGGTTCAGAGCAGCTCACAATTGGCATTGGATTGTTTTTTGGGCAATGCCGCTAATAATTGAAAGAGTCTTTGTTCGCTAGAGCTACAAAATTCTGCCTGCAACCACAATCTCTTGGTTGTATTCTGAAAACCTAATATTAAGATTTAGGTTATGGTCTCATTATTTCTGGATATCAAGTACTCCAGTGCTATAACCTTATGTACAAGATATAATTTGCTTTTGTTCAAGCTATGTGACTATTCTTGATATGATTATTGATAGGCGTTTATCATTGCAGACTGTGATTATGATCAATAGGCAGTAGATAAAATTGACCTTAAGTCAATTAATGTCAGAATCTATGGAATCTACAAATGATTTTAGAGCTTTCATCTTGATGATCAAATGCATATGGTTGGCCAATTAGGTGGTACAGAAATTGGGGGATTAATTAAAGGCCAGAGAAAAGTGTTGACTAACACAGAAGAAATGACAAAAATTTCTATAAAAGATGAAGATAATGGCCATGAACCAGAAGAATCAACATATTAGAATATTCATTAATCTGTCACTGAAAAACTAAATTCACCTCTTGATTTAGCTGGCATTAAAAACATGTCTAAAATTGGTTCTGAAAAGAAATCTCTTGAAATTCATCAAATTAGTATTGCCTTGCTTACCTAGGACACTGTTTCCTAATTCAGTCTGTTCTCTTAGAGGCTGACAGTATTTGCGTAGACACTAAGGAAACACACTCTGATTCTGAAGCACAACATAGTCCAGTGAAAAACGTTCACAGTCCAAGTTATCACGTAACCTTCCAATCAACCCTGATTCTTAATTAAAGCTTAAGCTATCTTGATGAGTGGGAGGTGAGGTAATCATTGTATATTGGGATTTTAACTCTATGGAGATTATTACAGATCCCACTAAAGGGAAACTGGATTCATTAAATGGGGGGAAGAAATAATTTAGCAGTAACAGAGACCAGATACTATTTTAACTCCAGATACTATTTTAACTTCAAGGACCTTGCATTTTGATGATTATTCCTCAGAAATTATTTAGAAAAGTGAATCTTTATTTTATTTATTTATTTCAGACAGAGTCTCACCCTGTTGCCCAGGCTAAGTGCCGTGGCATCAGCCTAGCTCACAGCAACCTCAAACTCCTGGGCTCAAGTGATCCTTCTGCCTCAGCCTCCCGAGTAGCTGGGACTACAGGCATGCGCCACCATGCTGGGCTAATTTTTTCTATATATTTTTAGTTGGCCAATTAATTTCTTGCTTTTTTTTTTAGTAGAGACGGGGGCTCGTTCTTGCTCAGGCTGGTTTCAAACTCCTGACCTTGAGCAATCCTCCTGCCTCGGCCTCCCAGAGTGCTAGGATTACAGGCATGAGCCACCACTCCCGGCCTCAGAACTTAATCTTTAGAACATATCTGTGTGTCAAAGCACAAAAATATATAGGTAAGGAAACTTTAGAGTCATATCAGTAGTAGTAGAAGCAGCAGTAGCAACGAATTTGCTAGTGTTACTGCTAATATTTGTTTTGCCTACTTTTTAGACATTTTATATACATCGCAATCATGACAACACCACTGTGAGGTAGATACTGAAATTTTCATTTTTAAAAAAAGGAAACTCTACTTCAGGCAGTACAGATAACTTGCTTAAGTTCACAAGGGCTCATAGCTGGTATAGGGATTCTAATCCAGGTTGAGTAATTTTGGAAATCAGTTTTCTTGACCATGCCCCTTGTACTGTCTTGAAGAGTGTTACTTTTATTTTTTACTACTTCAGATGATTCAAATAATTGATAATTAGAAAGCTAAATATGGTGAAATGATTTAATTTCATCAGTCAAAAGATTAAAGGCCTTTTGTTTCCGTATTATTTTTGGCAGAGTTGTTAGTAAGTCAGCAAAATAAAAATTTGACATCATTGTAAAACCTCAATTCAACTAAGATCTGAGATAAACCCAAATCATTGTTTGCATCATGTAAAGTCTCATATGTACTATCTTTAAAATGAATATAATTGAATATGGCGAGAAAATATTTTTGTTGAAGTGGGCAGAGTTGAGGTTACTTTCAGTTTAAGGTGTGGAGTTACGTCTAAATAAACGAGTCCCTAATATCTTCATCAGGCCTTTTAAAATGGCTGAAAATATAATAATGGAAAGGAGCAAGTGATATTTCAACAGGGTTTCTTTAAGTTGAGTAAGAATGCCTCTGTCCTTCTAAGAACTCTGCTGTTATTTTTAAGACCTGATGAACCCTGTCTTCGAACTCAAGAATTTTTCCTGTTGAAGTAGATCAAAATCCCTTGGATGATCTTTAAACTGTCATCATCTTGGATGTGAGATTATGATGGATGTGGCACTAGGCTGAGGACTAGCAAACCTGGATTCTAGTCGTAAATATATCAGAAGTTAGCTGTATGCACTAGTGTAAGCTCTTTAACTTTTCTAGGTGCTTACTATCCTCATCTATAAAGAGTTTGAATAGATAAATAATTTGAATAAAGTTTTCTTTCCATGATGTTTAAAATACATTGTACAATGCTGGATTCTTTGGTATTGCATTTTTTAAAAAAATATATACTTACCAAAGGTAACACTCATGCATTAGGACTGCAGGACATCTGTCATTTCAGCATCAATCTGATAATGTAAAACGGATATGATATAATTTACATTTGTAGACTATTAGATCATGCAGAAGGTATACAAAATTTTGAAACCTTGCTTAGAGGAAAGGGTTCTTGCCAATGTGAAATTTTACACTGCAGGCTTTATTGGCCACCCTTCACATTTATTTAGCTTTAGATCATCCCTGCTCTTAAAGAGTTTACAGTCTGCTGGAAAAAATAGACAAGGAAAAAAAAAGACAGTAGAGCTTAAAAAGTGCTAATTACTGAGTATGCACAGAATGTTACAGGACAACAGAGGAGCTTGAGTGCCAGTGAAGGATTCCCAGAGATGATGTCTAGCTTGAATCCGGAAACCTAACGGGAGATCTAGCCCAGGCAAGCCCGATGGGGGATAGGGCCATCCAGGCAGAGTCATGATGTGCAAAGGCCTTGAGCTAAGAGCAAGTGTCATGTGTTTGGAAAACTGCATGCAGTTGGTCAGGAGAATCCAAGTAGGAGGTATAAGAAATAGTGACAGGAGGTCATGCTGAAGAGGAAATCAAGGGTCCAAAATCTCATGACTTTGTAAAAAAAATTTTGGACTTAAATTTGGAAGCAATAGAGAGCTGTTGAAGTAATATATTAACCATTTTTGTGTGTGTGTTACAAAGGTTACTTTGACCTCAATATAGAGATGGGATTGGGTGAGAGGTATTGGGGGCAGATTAGATGTGGGAGACCCATTGGGAGTTGTCATCCAGGTGGAAGGTCACCTAAAATTAAGTACCAAGAATGGGAGAAGAAGGTGGGTGGGAGATTGAGAAAATTGTGGAGTTAGAATTGATAGGATTTGAATTTTCATTGGAAGTGTATAGAAAGAGAGAAGGAGAAATCAAGAATCACTGAGTTTTCATTTTGAGACAATGAGTAAATGGTGATGACGTTCATAAATTTAGAAAACACAAGAGGAGGTTGTTTTCAGAGGAAGATTTTAACCATGTTGAATTTGAATTTCTTGTGAGATAAGAAATTATGGACCAAAAGATCCTCATAAACAGTGGGAGAAAAAGCCTAGTAAAGAGGGAGAGATCCCAGCTGCAGGGAGAGATTTGGAGATTAAAAGCACATGTTTGAAAGAGAACACTGGGAAATATTTAATGGCATGGAAGTGAAGAAGACCAAGGAAAAAACTTTGGGAAATAGAAATTTAAGGGATGAGTAGAGGAAGTAGAAAAGAAGGGAAGAATCATAGATAGATAAAAGATAGAAAATGATAATACAGATGCCAAAAAAGCTGTTCCAAGAAGGAAGGGACAGTTGTGGGTATCAAGTGTTTTGCAGAGAAGGCTGATAAGGACCAAAAATGTTTCTTAGCTTTAGCAAGAAGGAGACTGTTGATGTGCCTTTGGGGATAGTGTCTTGGCACCCTCAGGAGCCAGACTGCAAAGCGTTGAGGAATTAATAAGAGGTGTAAGGATGAGTATTTGCTATTCTTCCAAGAATCTTGGCTGTAACAGGAAGAGAAAGGAAAATAGCTAGGCAGGTGTCTAAAGTATCTTCTTATTTTTTGAGGTAAGAAGAGTAACTTTAATACAAATTGGATGGAATCAGTAAAAAGGAAATGTTGAAGCAAAAGAAAAGTGTATAAGTAATAGAGAAAGATTCCAAGGAAGTGAGATGGGTAGAATTCTGAATGATAATAGTGACCTGGTATCACAATAAATTTTGGATTTTCAGTCAATAATTAGTCTTTTTGGTATCAATATTTTGTTTTTGTCACTAGTTAAATGAGGACGGACATCTATGGCAATGACATGGAGTGAGAGTAACAGGCTCATATGGAATAAACTTAGATTTTCCTAATATCATATAACCTTTGTAAATCTTACCCAACCCACCTGTAAAAGGGGAATTAAAATGATACCTAACATTTAGAATTGTTTTGGGTTATTCTAATAAATATGTACATGTAAAGCTATTGATGTTTATGCTTAACATATAGTAATGGCTTAATGATAGCTATGACATTAAGGATCATAAAATCTACTTGTACCGAGAGATAAACTACAATGGATATATTAATACCAGTTCTTGTGATATAAGAAAGAGGAGGAAGGGGAGAAAGAGAGGAGGAGAGGGTAGAAAGAGTATACCATTCTATTTGCTAGTCTCTTCTTTGCCTAGCATCCACTTGGCAATTTATATTTGTCTCTGTGTTTTCAAGATTTTAGTGACCAACTCCAGCATGTAACAGTGACATTCTGAATACTTAGGGAAATCATATTTGATGCCCACGAACTCTCTATTGGGACATTTTAGGGGAAGCAGAGTGAAGAGTTCTCAGAAGAGCACATAGGGAAGCCCTGTCTGAATGATGGTAGACAGAGAACATATATTTCAAGTGTGATTTTTAAAACTGTATGTCTTTCTACAGGAAAATGGGCATCTATTTCACAAAGAACCCATTCTGAGAGTGTCATGGTAAAGTCAAAAGAAAATCACACTGGTGGTTGTTCTGTTTCCCGGTCATTTCAAGATCAGGGTGAGGGTAGGGGTAGATTGTCATGTAAGGAAACACTAATTTGGCATGGCTCAGAAGCCTCTTTGGTCACTCTTCCAGTGTTACGCCAAGTGTATTTAGAATATAGAATATGCCAATAGAGCTCCATCCCTGGAGATAAGTGAACTTGGAGTGAAAGGAGTAGATGGAAAAATTTTTTTAAGGAAAAACACTTCAAGTGAAGATAGACAAAGAGCTCTAGCAAATTATGATCCAGATATGACATGTTAAGTGGGAAAACATTCACGCTAAGCATTGGGAATGAAAGTGAATGCTGTTCTAATAGATGCTGCTCTAACATGAAGTCAGAAAGAGAGGTGAGCTTGCTCATCTAGCTAAGAGATACCAATTTGGAAAGACAACCAGAAAGGCTCATGGAAACACCAGAGGTCTAGTCTCTGAATGCTGTAATCAAATGTGCATACCTATCTCAATAACTCCATTCATCTCACTCTTCTTTAGCAATGACTGAAAGACTGGCTACGTAGCAGGGTTGCTATAAATTTCCTGGCAGTAAAGCCAGAAGAGACACAGTTACAAACCTGCCTTCTCATCATTGTGGTTATTAGAATGGTGAGATGTTATAATGAAACATATACTGAAAAGCAACTCAGAGAAATAAGAAACAAGGGGTTTGAAGGAAGGATGCATTTGCACTTAAAACTCAATTTGTCTTGTATGATGTCAAGAAGGACACGGTAAACAACAGATAAACAACAGATAAACAGGGTAAACAACAGATCTGGATAAACAACAGACGGATGGGGAAAGGTTTCAAAAAGGTTATTTCTTGTAGAATCTTAAAGAATGTTTAGACCATCTTTTTTCACTTTTTAGTGACTGAGACCCCCCCACTCCCACCCCAAGCAAATTATTGTGGTAGCAAACAACTTCTAGGTAAAGTGATTTTATTTTCTAGGTTAAGGAAGCTAAATGCAAACTAAATTTAGGTTACCAAAGGAAAGTTGGTATGAAAAGAAGGAACTATTCAATTTAATTAATTGTTTTATGCTAAATGTTTTAATGCCCATAATGACAAAATTTCCCTGACAATCCAATTTTTTTAGTTTTTATGTATAGACTCTTATGGAGTTTGAATTTTATTTTTTTATTTCTTTGTGTGAATATTCACACTTTATTATTTTTTCTCTGTCACTTCTGTGTTTCTCATAACAAATAGGGCTCTGAATTTTAGGTTTGATCTGGATTGTGTAGACTAGGGCTGTTATGTCTCCTTCTTCTCCTCCTCTTTTTAACTATGTATTTTCATGCAGTAGACAAAGATTTCCATTCTTCAGATTGCAATTTCAGACCACCATGTGTGAGCTTCCTGATATGCAGTTTGAATTGTAATGAAATATAGAGATGACATTTTTGTTAATGGAATTTAAAGAAGAGGCTTTTCTACTGTATTCTTTTCACCTGAAATTCTGACTTTATAAACTGTTACAAACAAGATTAACAGAAAGGTTTGGGACCAGAGTAAATATGGAAATTAGAAGAAAAATCAGAATTCTTAAGATTATAAAGAAGAACATCAAAGAAGATTTAGCTCCATTTTTCAAACGGATTAAGACTTTGTCTCTTAGGCACTATACAATAAAACACAAAACAAATAAAACTTCACTAAAATACAAGTATTAACACAGACTATTTCTGTTTTTAAAGCCACTTCAAGTTTAAAAGAGGTGCTATTGAGAACAGAGAATAGACATTTTCTGGTTGTTAGAGAAAGCCAGAGTGGGCTCAGCAGAAATTATGAAGGGAATATCATGGCTTCCTTTCTGGAAGACGGTCCTCACAAATGAAGCTACCTGGCAGTGAAATGAAGCTATCTGGCCATTTCTGCTTCCAGGGGAAAATATATTGACTATAGGAATTTAAATGGAGGCTGAATAACCTCTGGAAGGAATTTACTGAGTACGAAATTGTGCTAGATGATCTTTATAGTTTTCTTCCAACATATTTTTGTGATTTAATTTTTTTTTTTTACTGTGTTATTGGGTATTTTTAAATGTGCTGTAATGGAAACCAGGTTTTGTTGATTTCATGGTTAATAAATGAACAAAAATTCATTTAAATTCTTAGAAATTTCTTTCACTTATAGAAAAAGACTTCTAATTGGCATCAGATCATTAATTAGCCTAAGCAGCATTGACTTTGCATTATAGTCAACTTACTTTTCTGTAAAGACGCACAGAGTGATGGGCCAGAGTGGCCGTAGTGCCCCTTCCCTGGCACACGACAAAATAGGCCATAGCGAAGTCTAATCAAGAGACCTCAGCAGCCACCAGCAGAGTGGGAAAGGGGTACAACTCAATGTCGTCAGTTTCAAAAGGAGCAGGGAGCAAAGGAAGAAGATATTTCGGCCTGGCATAGAGTACTTCCCCACTTTGCCTCTTACTCCAGAAACGGAATGGACGAAACAACAAAATTCTTGGGATTGTGGCCCATGCCTCCAAATTAGCAGTAAAGTGAAATGAAGTGTTGCCCTTATCTTTTGATTCTTCTAAGTAATTGAAATGGTTGCTGGAGAGTAACAGGTAAAAGGGAAGATGTGAACAAATGGGCCGGCTGGCTGTCTCTGAAAAAGACCAATAAAACATCTCCCCAAAGATTAGGACGGTTACAGACTTGGGAAGGAAATCCGAGTATAAGACACTTAACACAATCTCAGAAGTTGGAGGAGAGCCCGGGCAGACTAACAACAGCTGCCCAACCTGTTCTGGGCCCTCCTCCCCTGTCGCACACCTTAGTCTACATAAAGGTGGCGGAGCACAAAGTACCAGCCTCACACTGTGGTTCTCAGGTAAGAACCACCAGGCCTAAGATGCAGTGAATAGGGAAACACTCATTCACCTACTGTTGAGAAGATAAAAGGTCCGGCCCAAACCGCTTATGTGTTCCACAAGGTGAAAAAGAAACTATCTGGCCACTGTGCAAATGCACTTAAGGGAGAGAGAGGAAAAGAGGAGGAGGAGAGGGGGATGGGAAGGGGACTGGAACCTGGAGGGGGAGGGAGAGGAGGGAGGGGAGTAGAGAACTGAGAGGAGGAGAAGGACATTTAAGGAAAGATGAACCCAAAACTCTCAAAAATTGGGTGGAGTGAGGAGGGAAATTGGAAAATATATAGCAGTTCTAATATCTTTTATCTTTCAGAGTTGGGAGCCAACTGACAGGGCATAAAAAATAAATTTATAATTAAAAATGACTATTTTAATATTCTATAATTTTTTTTAATTTTTAGAAAATAACTCTTATGGTAAAGGGACATTTATGTGACCTTCAGATATTTTTCATTTGCCTTTCTTGTATCATATTAAAATTAAATTTAATAAATTAAAATAATTTAAAATATTAAATTTAATATTTTTATAATTAAAATAGAAGATAGGAAATGATCCCATTTTCCTAGAAGTATTTCTTTTATCATCTACTCACCTCTATATATGCATATGTGTCTATCTACATAAACACACATACATGTATGAAATAAAATTTTCCTGAAATAGTATTTACCCTCACTGTAGAAGATGGACTCTGATATCATGACTGTATTCTTATTCTCCTCTTCCTTCATATTTAAAAGCTGTTAATAGGTTACAACCTACAGTTTGAAAAACACTACACTGTACTTTGCTGCCTGTATTAACAAACCCTTTTGTTCTTAAAAGCATAGGCAAACATTTTTTAAAAAGTATATAATTTCATAAGTTTTGTAACTGTGTCAATTTGCTGTTAAATGAGAATGACTTGAAAACAGTCATTTTTCTTATTTTGATCACAAAGTCAACCACGTCATAAAAGCATTGGGAAAAGACTATCACATAATGGCATTTCAATGACAAAGAAATGAGTAAATCTGTGTTCATAAGTTCTTAAAACAGTCTTCAGTGAAAAGTCAGTAGACGGTAACATTGTCCTACCTGTGAGTCACAGTAAAGGGGAGGTGAGTTGATAGAACAGCACTTGGAAGCAAAGTCTGAGCGCCTTTCAACCAGATCGTCCAGCTCGGCGGGCGTGGCGTCGGGCAGTTTTGCTCTTAGTCGCTCTGCCAGTCTGTACGACCATTTTTAATGCAAGATTTTACTAGGTGTATTTTATAAACATTTCTAATGCAAAATATTAGCCATTTCATATCTTTTACAATGCAAAATGAAAACAATACCTTTCTCAAAAGAATTCTGTATTGGTGGAATGATTTTTGGTGAGTCACCTTTTGATTAGAAAGTGAAATCTATGCCTCTTTCAAGATCATGAAAGTAAACATAGAAATTGCTGCTGAATTTAAACTCCAATCTTTCCCTTTTCATTTGGTATTTATTTCAACATGGATGAGTTCCTATTCTCTTTTTCCCTGACCTTTCGACTTCTCTGCAGTTTTAGGTTTCCAAGCTCCTTAAAGAATATTTCCTTTACAGGATATCATATCACCTTAATAATGTTTTTTATTTTCTTTCATATCTTACATAATTTCCTTCTCGGTTTGCCTACTTCTCAATGCAGTATGCTGGAAAACACTGACACGGGAGTCAGGCAACTCCGGCTCTTGTGTTAATTCTACTGTGAACTATAACAACAACCCATCTCACTTTCAAGATGGTGGTAGATCTTGCTCTCTCTTGATTATTTCAATTTGAACAGTCTATGGTCTTGATGCCTCTCCATCCTCATGATGAAGAACTCAGCCTGGTTTCTTGACTTTCTCCAAGAAATACTTGCTAGCCTGGTAGTGGCAATGAGAGGTGAAGAGAATCAAATTTATTTAGAGTTGGAGTTGGCCAGGTGGATGCTGGGAAGGGCCAAAAGGGTAAAGGGTAAAGTAGTTTGTTCATAAAGTCATCATTGAGCAAGTAGGACTGAGCTGGCTGGGGAAGCAAGTAAAACCAGGAGGAAGTTAGAGGATTGGCAAAAAGAAAAAAAAAGCAGGGGGAAGGTTATTTCAAATACCCAGTCTTAATAATTCCAACCTTCTCTAATTTATAACCCTGAATGTCAATTCTAGTACATGCCCATCTGGAATCAAGACTGTATAAGAAATTTTTACTCATTTGCCCCGTGCAATTCTGGAGTTCAAAACTGTTGACGAGAACTGAATCTTGAACCATCTGTTTAACTTCATCCTTCCTATACTGCCTTCATAGTGACTATTAGATTACACAATCAAACAATTTTCTGATAACCGAGAAATAACCATTTTGAATGTATGGCTTTCAGTTAGAGCTTGGCTAAGGTAGACTTCATGGAGGCCATTGAAGGAGGTGTCTTACTTTGGAGGTTCTTTAGAAAGATCTTTTTTGTGGAGTTTATTTGTGCTTACTTGAGGCCCACGTTGTTCAAAATGGATCTGAAAAACTTACGAAATAAAGTTGGGAAGGACATGGTCTTTTCAAAGGGGAATTTCACCAAGAACCTAGTAGCACTTCTTGCATTATTATGGCCTACTATTCGACTGTTAATGCCTGTCTATAAAGAAATGCTTTTTCCTTTGCTTAATTGGGAAAAACGACTATTGTACAACATTATTGATAATTAACACTTGTATTTCCAGTTTATAGGGAATATACAATGGTGATAGCTGACGCTACACTTGATTGAAAGTTAGATCCTGTTTTGCCATGAAGTTAGATAATATTTTATTTTTCAGCAGTTTTGTAGTTCCTCAGTTATGTACAGCAATATCTACAGATAACTTTGGGGGCAAGAATGCTGATAAAGCATGTGCTAATTTTGCCGTTTTAAATCAGATCCCTGCAGATCAATTCTGTCATTTATATTTTTGTGACTGTGTTCTCATTGGCCACTCGGCTGATATACTGGACATTTCCTCCCCCAAAAGAACTCAGCTGCTTCTTCTGCGGATATTAGATTCCAAATATGTTTAAAAACTCTTTTAATTGTACCTCTTCTTTTTATTGTTCACTTAGCACATCTTAAGTTTTTAACAATACTTTCAAATCACAATGCTAAGCAAATATTATCTATAAATTTGGAAAATACAACTAGAACAGGTCACTTACTTTTTCTTGTACTCAGTAAATGTGTTTTCTGAATAATCTGCACATAGTTCTTGTCCTTTGCCAATGAAAGAAGATAGTTCCTTCGTCAGCAGAGGGCTCTGTAAGAAAGCAATAATTGCATACCAAAATTACTTGTCTTGAAACACTGTCCCATAAAGCTATTAAATCAGAATTACATGTACTATGTCAGTATGAGTATTATCTACACCTGGCATTGGCAAATATTTTCTGCATCAGGCCAGATGATAAATATTTTAGGCTTTGCCATATATGGTCTCTGTTGCAACTATTCAACTCTGTACAGATGCAGTCATAAACAATGCATAAAGAATGGGAATGGCTGTGTGCCAATGAAACTTGATATATGAACACTGAAATCTGAATTTTGTGTAACATTCACATGCCATGAAATATGAATCTCCTTTTGAAATTTTCCCCCCAGTGGTTTAAAAATGTAAGACCATTTTTCCATTCTTAGTTTGCAGGCCATACAAAAGCAGGCAGTGAGCTAGGTTTGGCCCATGAACTTTAGTTTAAATGGTTAATAATAAAATGTTAGCAAACCATACCTTAGCTTTTAAACAGGCAGTAGGATCTTTAAGATCACAGCATTCGCCGAGGCTTTTCAGGGTTGGCTCCAGTATTTTACTGAGGAATACTTCTGGAACTTGAGTCCTTCTACTTAGTTCAAATGTATACCTGGCAGGAAGGAGAAAAGAAGAAGATACTCTTTAAGGTGTGTGTAGGAATGTGTGCATGTGTTCATGTTTTGAAATGTGACATTTCTATCACAAAGGTAGGGCATCTGGTTTCTGTGTCTTAATTCAAAAGAAAAGATTTAGCCAAATCTAACTGAAAATCAACAGGGTTTGGATTATGCAGTATTGTTTTTGAAATACAAGTTATTATTAATAATATTTGCTCTGAAGCTATTGCGACTAGTTAATACTGAATTAAATCTCTGTGTGGAATATATATTCACATATATTATATAATATATAAACGTATCTACTTCAGATGCATGTGACTGTCCTTTGTGAAACATAATACAATTGACCCTTTCTGAGCATCAAATGGGTACTATAAATGATTTTTTGTGAAAATAGGTTTGTGTAAATTCTTCTATTGTGTCTTATCCCGCTGCTGTCTATGCACTTATAAAAACAATGAGTATTTAGAAAAATGTAAATTAGAATTTCACTCCTGCCTAAATTCTGCTGTCTGATCTTGCTAGTTGATATTTCAACCTGCTCCTTCAATCTATTTGTGAAACATTTTTATGCCATGAGTATGTATATGCTCATAGTGTATGCAGCCTATGGTGTATTTATTTTAGTTCTTCTTTTAGTTAGATGAAATAAGATTTACCATTCCTTCCCATTTAATCTTTTTTCATTTAGTGGAAATGAATATCAATACAGCCAAGAAAAAGTTATTCTATGTTTGATATCTGTTTCATTTATATCAAATGCTATCGTCCAAAAGTGTGGTATACTTCAGGCTTTTGATTGTGACTTTGAACTAGAAGTAATATAATAAAACTAGTTGATAATATGATAAACATTTCTGGTGCCATGACATATTTTACGTGTGTGCAGCATTTTATTGTATAGAAAAATTTTTTCACATTTACTTTCACCTACATATCTACACACATTTCCCATTAGCAACCTGTGTGCTAAGTAAGACAAGTATTAACATTTTCAAATTAATCAAGAAGAGACTGGGGTTCAGAAAGGCCAAGTCACTTCTTTCAGTAAAGCACAGTAATCAGAAGAGACAGAATTAGGAACTCCAAGCTCCTGTCTCCATACCCCAAATCTTTCTATTAAACTCAATTTTTCTTAATTTCAAATAGGTTGTAGAGTTTAAAAAATTTCAATAATTTGAAATCATTTAACAGATAAAAGCATAACCAGTACTTTGTCTGTTTTGCAACGAGTGACAGCGTACCTTCCCTCCATCTGGCCACTTCCTGTCCAGATGAACTTAAAATGGAAACACATTTCACATCACTTCTACTTACTGATCCATGGCTTTGGTACTTCCTGGGTTGCACACGTCTTTACTTGTGGGCAACTTGACGTCCGGCAGCTCAGGTGGCTGGGCAGCTGGCATGAAGTAGGTGCACATAAAAATGTCCATGGGTGTTTTTTCTTGACAACAGTCTCCAAACTTCGAATTCTTTGTGGATAAGTTGTCACAGATTTTTATTGTATATTCAGGCAGCTACAAAAGAAAGGCGAGTTTGTGCATTGTTAGTGTTCTTGTTGGTCTAGTTAAAAATAAGGCTTATAAGTCTTGGCATTATGTTTATAAAAGCCAGTGTGAATGCTCTCAGAAAGTGAATTTGTACAATATTTGGGAAGAAAATTTGTCAATATGTACTAAAAGGTATAAAAATGTACAATTTAAATTTTAAGAATTGATGCTCAGAAAATTATAGATGAAGGGAAGACTTAACTACAAGGCTATTGAATGCTGCATTGCTTACAATATTGAAAACCGTAAATATTATAATAGAGGATGAGTTAAATAAAAATGCAGTGTGTCTAGTTAGATTGACGTGATATATGCCGCAGAGCAGCTGTGCCCAATCTTTTTGACACCAGGGTCCGGTTTCATGCGGAGCGTTGTCGCCTGGACTCCACCTCAGATCCCCATGCGTTGGGGTCTCGTGGGGACGCGCAACCCGGACCCCTCGCGCACACAGTTTGCAGTGGGGTTCGCGCTCCCCGGGGGGTCTGACGCCCCCTGATCCGACGGGCCCGGCCCAGGCGTGGTGCCAGCGATGGGGAGCGGCTGCGGGGGCAGGTGGCGCTTGCGTCCCTCCCTGTCGCTTGCCTCTGGCTGTGCAGCCCTGTGGGGCCGGGGATTAGGGCTGCAGCGGTAGGGGCCTATTTATCCTTTATGTATTGCTATTAAAAACCCCTATTAACACAGATACCCACTTTTAATGAAACAGGACCAAACAACACAATGTATCTATTGCTAAAGAGATTGACAAGACCTCAGAGACTGATCTTCCTCTAATGCAGCTATTTAAATTTGCATCTACTTGAAAGTACTATGCAAATCGAGAACAGTAAAAAAATGGAGATGACCATCAGGTTATAAAAGACATTAGTACCCTCTAATAGAGCTTTCTGCGATGTGAAAATGATGTGTATCTGCGCTGTCCACACTGCTATGCCTTCAAAGTGTGGCTAGTATGACTGAAGAAATGAATTTTAAATCATATTCAATATAAACGTTTTAATCAATTATAATTAAATTTAAACCACCGTAAGTGGTTCATGGATACTGGACTGGACAGTGTAGACAGAGTGAGGTGTTGGGAATCAGATAATCTTGTTCTTGCATGTGGACTCCGCCACTTATTAGTTGTATGGTCTCAATGCTTGGCCCTTGCTAAGCTTCTGTTTCCTCATCTGTAACATGGAATTAATGACATGCTTATATTTCATAGGATGCATGTGAGGATTCATTAGGCAAATGAAGAGCAGCTTAGAAGAGTGGCTGCCGCTCAGTACGTGTTGATGCCTGGCACACGAGGGTGGTGACAGTGGTGACAGGGATCGTCTTACCTCCTTGGCCATGCAGTCCTCAGAGGTAGACTGGCAGCATTTGGAGAGGATGTTGGTAACATCTTCAGCTAGTGGCAAAATGTCCTCCAGATCAACAGCAGGCACTTTTTGGGCTAATTTGATGAGATGGCTAAACAGTAAAAATGAATATGTTAGTTTACCCACATTCTCAGTTTTTTGTTTTTTTTTTTTGGTTTCATGATGAACACGCTGCCTGGAGGAATAATACCAATTTCAGCTCTCTGGTCTCCGCAGCTGCGTGGAACACGCCTGCCACGCAATGCGTGCTGTGTGCCAAAGCCACAGGCTCAAGGTCAAACCACACCCAGTGCGTCTTTTCAAGTCGTCATTACTAAATGCAGCTTCTCTTCTGGCCAGATCCCTTAAAATGAAAGCACACCCTTAAAATGTTAGATCTAAAGAAGCGATACAGAAAGTACTAATGTCTCTCTAGTCATAAGGCCAATGTTGTGTTTTGTGGCCCCTCAGAGTCTTTTAAAAACTGTTTTTATAAAATCTTTTAGAAACTATAAGTGAAAGTGGTAAAAGACCTGTAGCCCTACATCACAGAGTTGATAAATGTTGTTGATTTGGATGTGTAATCGTTAAACATATTTTTAAGGTTTACGTGTGTGAATGAGATTATGCTATACTACTCTCATATTTGCTTTTTTCACTTAACATATCAAGAATATCATCAAATATTTTTTAATGTTAATATTCTCAATAAATTAGGAATATTAAACATGTCTAAAAATTCTGGTGAAAATATGTTAAGTTTACAGTCTTAACCATGTTTAAGGCTAACAGCTCAGTAGTGTTAAGCATATTCACATTGTTGTACAACGAATCTCTAGAAATTTTTCATCTTGCAAAACTAAAACTCTATAGCCATTAAGCACTGATTTGCCTTCCCCTCTCCCTCCTCCCAGTCCTTGGCAACTACTTTCTATTATCTATTTTTATGATTGTGATTATTTTAGATACTTCATCTGAGTGGAATTGCCCAGTATTTGTCCTTTTGTGACTGGCTTATTTCACTTGGCATGATGTCCTCAAAGTCCATCCATGTTGTAATATGTGATAGGATTTTCTTCTTGTTCATTTTTTTTTATTTTTTTATTTTTGAGTTGGGTCTCATGATATCACTGCCCAAGCTGGTCTTGAACTACTGGACTCAAGGGATACTCCTGCCTCAGCCTCCCAAGTATCTAGGATTACAGACCCCTGTCATCACACTCAGCTGGATTTCCTTTTTCTAAGGCTACATATTATCCATTGTATGTATATGCCTCATTTTCTTTTTTCCTTCATCTGTTGATAGATATTGGGGTTGCTGCACTTCTTGGCTATTGTTAGTAATACTGCAACGAACATGGGAGTGCAAGTGTCTCTTTGAGATCCTGTTTTAGATTATTTTGGCTATGAACCCAGAAGTAGAATTGCTGGATTATGTAGTAATTCTACTTTTAATTTTTTGAGGAACTTTCCATAACGGTTGCACTATTTTACATTCCCACCTACAGCGTGCAAGCATTCAATTTCTATGCATCCTCACCAACATTTTCTATAATATTTTCTGTACTTTTGTTAGTGAACATCCTAATGGTTTAAGTTTGTATTTCTCTTACGATTAGTGATGTTGAGCATCTTTTCATATGCTTGTTGGTCAATAGTACAATTTTTGAAGAATTGTTTATTCAGGCCATTTGCCTGTTTTTGAAGATCAAGAGGTGTATACTATGTAGCACAAAGCTTCATGCAACACGTAAGAATTCAGGAAGCTCTCATCCCAAGAAGAAACTGGGCAAGGAAAATAACAGATGATAAACAAAAAGATATTTTTTTTGCTTTTGTGTTTGTAACATATGCTATTATGAACATAGAGGAAGTATTTTCTAATGGCCTACCAGTTTTCCCATATAACAAGTAGATGGAAAAGATTGAGTAAAAGTAAATCTCATATTTTACAACATAGCCTTTTTCCTTATTGTTCATACTTTGTGTGGCATAAAGAAAAAAGAGTTCGGCCATATTTTCAGGATTATTGGGGCATAAGACTACATTCTATACCTCCTATTATAAACATCTTCTTAGTTTATACTCTAGTATTTAATAGTGCAGAACCAAACATCTACACGTGGTGATAGTGCTTAATCTTTACCTGAGCCTTGATTTCTCCTTCCCATAAGCAGCATATTGTGAACAGACTCTATTTGACAGAGTGGTGAGAAGTGACAAATGTTTACTCTGGAGTCTCTAGAAAACAAGTGAGAGAATCTCATCAGATGATCAAGATCCACTGAAAACAGTATGCACAAATGGCAAAAAACAGGGACTATGAATTTCATGATTTTTTTTGATGAACACTGACCAAAGGAGCTTCTTGGTATTTCCTTTCCAGAAGTGGTATGTTTATTTTCACATGAACAAAATTCAGGGGACGCATTTTAGAAACTTGTACTGATTGCAAAATCTCAACTTCTACCATTGTTTAAAAAGAACGCCATTACAAGGAAAAGTAAAAATAGAGCATAACTATGTAATAAGTAAAATGGGACCTACCTCTTTCAGAAAGCATACAGTTGGACTTGCGGAGGTACAGCAGGACCCCACCATGGAGAGATAGCTCTTAGTGTAACTGACTAAAAGTGGCAGAGGAGCTTGTCCATAATTACTGGAATATTCATACAGAAATCTGTTGAGGAAAAAATAGGATTGATTAAAAAAAATTCTGGGAAAATGTTTATTTTTCACAAATATTTTTGATGGATGAAGACTGCATCCTATATTAGTTTATACTTTTAATACCTAAAAAGCACTAAGAATTTAGAGAAAGTTATAATACTGGTGACTTTTAATCAATATATTCATTAAAAAATAAATTCTTTCCTAAATTCCCATGTACTCTGCTTGAGAGAAGGGACCATCTGTCCCTTTATTCACTTAGTATCTAGCCAGATGCATCACTCACGGGAGCTGCTTATTAATTAAGCTTCTGATTGAATTAATTAAAAATGAATGTAATTACTGGATTTACCCTTGATTATCTATCTCAGTTTATTATTCTAGATAATTGCTATGTACAGGTTTACTTATTTGTCAAAAGAAATCATTTTAATTCTTAGGAACATATGCCCTTATGGATCTAAAAAAGGACTCTAATTCTGGGCAAAATTCTCCTGAAAACATATAGGAATGGGCAAGCCAACTAATTTTTATAAATTGTGACCACTTTCAATGACATTGCCTTTGATTTTTGTATATGTGTTATTTTTTTCACTATAATAAGTGGATTTCTTTTATTTTTATTTGTTTTTATGACCTTCTAAAGACTATCATAAGGAATCAGTGTATAATCTAGCTCCTCACGCATGTTCAACAAGAAGAATATCAAAGTTACGAGTTTACTTGTGTAGTATGCAGTGTCACGTTCTCAAATGCTTTTGGGGATGTACAGGAGTGAAGGACAAAAGCTGTTCCTTTTTTATGCTTTAGTAGAAAGTAAGGATTTAAAATGTGCACAGCAATAAATTTGCTTCTATCGTGTGTACGCAAGGATCCCTAGCGTAAGAGAAGTCACAACAGGGGCTGTCAAATATTTGAAAATCTGTCATGCGGACCGGGGACTGGAGTGATTCTGCTTCAGATCATAGAACTAGGACTAGCAGGTGGGAGTTGGGGGAAGTCGATTTCATCTCTCAGAAAGGCTTCACAAAACTGAGCACCAACAGGGAGGTGGGGCTGTCTTGGGTGACAGTCAAGTCACCCAAGTGACTTGGGTGGAAGTTGTCCACGTTGCTGCGAGAAGAGGGGTTTGCGTAAGTAGGTGGTTAGACCAGACTCATTTCTGATATTTTATGCCTTAGAGTTCTATTGATGATGAAAGCAGCTTACTGGGCAGCAAATCCCTTTGGATCTTTCCGGAATGCCTCACAGATTTCCTCATTGGTTGGCTCCACGTAGGTAGGAAATTCCTGAGGCGGGTGCTTGAGAGCCGCCATGCAGAGTTTCCTCTCCAGGCCCTCCTTGGTGCAGCACTCGGCAGTGCCTGGGTGAGCCGGGAAGGGGGAGTCGCTTTCACAGGACTTGACGGACAGCGCTGAGGTCTGGAAGGACAGAAAAAAGAAACTCACATACACACAAGTTTCTAGGCTCGCAGTGCTCCGTTCAATGTAACTTCTTAGTCAATGGTTTGAAAATTCTCCTTGCTAACCAGTTGTCTAAGCCAACGGCTCCAGCCAGTGATTTGTCAACATGACACGTTGTACATGGGTCTTATTTATGCTAATAAGTGATTTATGCTAATAAGTGATTAAATAGGGTCTTATTTATGCTAATAAGTGATTTATGCTAATAAGTGATTAAATAGGGTCTTGTTTATGCTAATAAGTGATTCTTCAGAGTAGAACAAAAATAGAATCTTCATTAATAAATGGACAGTGTTTATCTGACTGCAGCCTCTAGAACTTTACCCTCTCGCCCAGTGTTCCTCCATGGGGACATTACCATCTCTGAGGATGAGAGGGTCATCTGAAAAAGCTCTATGGTGGTTGCTGGTATCATCTCCGACCTGTTTTCTGCTGCAGATACCCCTTTAAGAATGAGGATCTTCCTCTGCCCTCCTCCCTTCTCTTTATTAACTGAGCTGATTCTTGATTCTAGACTATTTCAGTCTTCTACAACGTTTGCATTCTCTTACCTGACGGCTCTTGAGCCTGCTTTTTGCATCAAAATCACTCACAGAGTACATAAAAATAAGAAATGTTTGGGTTGCACAATCTAGAAATTCTGATTGAGTAGGTCAAAGATGGGCCTTGAAAATCTATTGTTCCCAAAGCCTCAAGATTTGTTCTCAAGTGCAGTGTGGGTTAAAACCCATGGTGCACTTTAATTTACTGCCTCAGCACTGATATTCTGATACATGTGGAAGACAAGCCACCATCAAAGCAATTGTAGCCATAAAATGTTCTTTTTGGAAGTAATTTGATATTTGAAATAGAGTAGAGTAGAAATAGTCACTATAGGAAAAAAAATTAGAAATAGTCATCATGGAAAAAAATTACTTTGGGATAAATATGGTAAAAAGTACTTTGCCATTATTTTATAAATCTTAGTCATCTTTTTTTTTTTTTTTTTTTTTACTTTAAAGTATTACAGGGTTACAAATGTTTTTGGTTATATGGCCTGTCACCCAGAGAGTGTTCCTTGTACTTGTTAGGTAGGTAGTCACCCATCCTCTCCACCCCCTCTTCCCTTGTTTGATTTCCATTAAGATGTACTTCCCTCTATGCACGTGTGCTAATCAGTTCCAATTTAATAGTATACATCGTGTTTGTTTTTCCATTCTTTAGATACATCACTTGGGATAATGGTCTTCAGTTCCATCCAAATCGTTGCAAAGGCATTAAGAAATCCTTGTTCATGGTTGAGTAAAATTCTATGGTATGCATATACCACATTTGGTTAATCCACTCATGAATTGATGGGCACTGGGGTTGACTCCACATCTTTGCAATTGTGAATTATGATGCAATAAACATTCGAGTGTAGGTGTCTTTTTGATAGAATGACTTCTTTTCCTTTGGGTAAATACACAGTAGTGGGATTGCTGGATCAAAGGGTACTGTTTTCCATCAAGGTTGCACTATTTTGCAGTCCCCCCAACAGTGCATTCCTATCTCTCTGCATCCATGCCGGCATCTATAGTTTTTGGATGTTTTAATAAAAGCCATTCTGACTGGGGTAAGGTGATAGCACATTGTGGTTTTCATTTGCATTTTCCTGGTGATTAGTGACATTGAGCATTTTCATATATTTCGTTGGCATTGCTGTCTTCTTCTGAGAAGCTTCGTGTCATGGCGGCCCGGGGTTGTTGGTCTTTCACTTCTCCTCCTCGCAAAGTTATGGGTGTTACACTGTATTTCATTTTTCCGCTCTTTCTTCTTAATCTTTCTTTTCTTACTTTTTTTTATTTATTTTTTTTATACGCCGCCGGCGTCGCGCCTCATGTGCGCCGATACTCAGTTACTGATAGTCCTATGTGTCACTTAGGTGCTACTCAGTTAATACCAGTTTGCTGGTGTAGTATATGTGGTGCTTGTTTTTCCATTCTTGGTATACTTCACTTAGTAGTACAGGTTCCAGCTCTAACCAGGAAAATACCAAGATGTGCTATTTGACCATTGTGTTCTTAGAGCCTGAATAGTACTCGCATGTAGAGTGGTCATTGGATCTTTTGGGTAGATGCGCAAGTAATGGAGGCTGGATCAAATGGTAGATCCACTTGTATCGCTTTAGGTATCTCTATATTGCTTTCCACAGAGGTTGACTAGTTTGCAGGCCACGCAGCAGTGAGGAGTGTTCCGACTCTCTCCGCATCCACGCCAGCATTTGATTGTTTGGAGACTGTTTGATAAAGCCATTCTCAGCTGTTAAAGTGAGTATCTCTTGTGTTCTGATTTTGCATTCTCCTGACATGATTGTTTTTTAGAGATGTTGAGGCATTTTTCATATGTTGTTGGCCATTCTTCTGTATCTTTAGAAAGTTCTCCGTCAGGTGTCTTTGCATGTGTTGTGTGTGCCCCCTCCCTGCCCTACTTTGATAGAGTGTGTTTGATTTTTTTCTGCTTTTGCATGATTCTAAGTATATTCTATCTCTATTCAGCCCCTTAATGAGATGCGTAGGCATGCAAAAATTTTCCTCCTATTCTGTAGTGTGACTGTTACTTTCATGACTGTTTCTTGGGCTGTGCAGAAGCTTGTAGTTGATATGTCCCATTTATTTATTTTTGTGTGCTTGCCGTGATTGCCTGTTGTGGCGCTCAAAACTTGCGGATTCTAGAAAGGGTTTGTTATCTATTGTCCGGCCGTCTGTGTTAAATTTCCTCTGAATGTTTGTTGTCGTATACGCCGTTTAGTGTTTCAAGTGCTTATTGATCGCATGGTGATGTTTTTTGTGAGAGGTTGAAAGTGGTGGGTCCTGTTCAGCCTGTGTTCTCAAGTGGACATTCATTGTTCCCGCACCATGTATTGGAAAAGGATTCTTTCCCCAGTGTATGTTTGTCTGGCTTTGTCAAAGATTAGATGGCTATTATGAGGATGGTTTTATATCAGGATTCTCAGATATCTTTCCACTGGTCAATATTCCTATTTTGTGCCAATGACCATATTGATTTAATTACTTACCAGCTTCTGTAGTGATGTTTGATATCTTTGGCAATTAAACCTTCCCATTTTTGTTTTATTGCTAGGAAGTTGCTTTGATATTTGGTCTTCTCTCGGTTCGAAATGAAGCATAAATTAATTGTTTCTATATCTGTGCAAAATGATGATGGATTGTTTAGCGCTTGAATCTGTATTCATTGCAGTTGAATCTAGGTATTGCATTGATCTATAGATCAGTTGGGATAGTATAAGCATTTTAATGATTTGAGTCTGCTCCCCCACGCAGCATGGTATGGATTTCCGATCGTTTACATCCTCTGCCATTTCCGTCCTCCAGGTGTTCATAGTGTCTCCCTGTAGATGGTCTTTTAGCCTCCTTGGGTTAAGTATATCCTTAGGTACTTATTCTTCTTTGTTGCTATTGTGAATGGAATTGAGCCTTGATTTGGTTTCAATTGCATTGTGTGGCATATATGGATGCCTCTGATTTCTGTGTATTGATTTTGTATCCTGAAGACTTTACTAAATTATTTATCCAGGTTTCCAGAGTTTGTTGGGTTGAATCTTTGGGTTCTAATTAGATATCATATCATCAGCAAACAGTGAAGTTGATCTCTTCTGGCCCCTATTTTGGATTACTTTAATTCCCTTTCCTGTCTGATTCTGTAGCGGACGTTCCAGCACTATGTTGAATAGAGTTGGATAGTGGAAGGCCTTGTTGGTTCCGTTCTAGTGGGGAAATGCTTGCAATTTTTCCCCATTCAGTATGATGCTTGGGGTATGGGTCTGGTCATATATTGGCTTGTATCATTTTTAGGTATTTCCTTCTATGCTATTTATTAAGTTTCGATCATGAAAGGGTGTTGAATTTGACAAAAGCTTTTTCTGGCATCTATTGAAAGAATCATGTGGTCTTTGTTTTGCTTCTGTTTATGTGGTTGAATTCATTATGATTACATGGTTGTAACCATCCCTGATCCCTGGGATGAAGCCACTTGTGTGTGATGATATTTTTTTGATAAGCGTCTGGATTCGTTAGCTAGGATTTTGTTGAAATTTTGCATCTATATTCATTAGGATATTGGTCTGTGTTTTTTTTTGTTGCATCTTTCCTGGTTTTGGTATCAGAGTAATATTCGCTTCATAAAAGGTGTAGGAGAGATTTCCATTTTCTCATGTTGGTGGAATAATTTATGCACAGATAGGCACCAGTTTCTTTGTAAGTGTGGTAGAATTTGGGTGTGAAACTATCTGGGCTGACACTTTTCTTTTTGGGGAGATTTTTAATTGCTGTTTCCATTTTGGCTCTTGATATTGGTCTGTTCGGGAATTCTATTTCTTCCTGGTTGAGCCTAAGGAGGCTGTGGTTTCTAGAAATTTGTCCTTCCTCCACATTTTCCAGTTTTGTGCATAAAGGTTTTTGTAGTATCATAGATTATATCCTGTATCTCCTCTAGGATCAGTGTGATATCTCCTTTTTTGTTCCTGATGAGCTTATTAGAATTTCTCTTTCTTGCTTTTCATTAGCCTAGCAATGGTGTGTCAATTTTATTTTTTCAAAGAACCAACCTTTTGTTTTATTAATCTCCTGTATAGCTTCCCTGTTGTCAATTTCATTTGACAGATCTGATTTGATTTGGTTAGTTTCACTTCTTCTGCTGGGTTTGGGGTTGGTCTGTTCTTTTTCCAGCTCTTTGAGTCATTTCATTAGATTGTCTATTTGTGATCTTTTCGACTTTTGGTTATAGGCATTTATGGAGATAAACTTCCTCTAGTAGTGCTTTAGCTGCTGTCCCAGAGATTTGATAACTTGGTCTCCATTGTCATTTTTCAAAGAATTTTTTTATTTCCATCTTGATTTCTCATTTATGAAGTAATCATTTAGTAGGAGGTTGTGTAATCCACGTTTTGTGGTAGAAATGTGGAGCTTCTGTTACAGTTG